GCCTACTTTCCTCGCGTTCAAGGGCGGAAACAAGATCGGGCAATCTATGGGTGCCATTCCTGCCAATCTGCAGGTGTGTAGCGCTATTACGGGTGCTGATTTCGATATCTGAAACCGCGTATTTTAGGCTCTTGTGAAGACTGCTGCAGAGGCTGTCACTCCTGAGGCTGCTGCCACTCCTGCTCCCGGAGCGCCTCCCGCTGAAGCGGCAACCGATGTACCCGCCGCCCAAGGTGCGTTACTTCGTTTAGCAAGTCACTCTCATATACTTAACTAGGATCTCTAGCTGTTGAAGAGCCCAAGGCATGATTAGAAGTCTCAAACTGTACACTTATCGCTATTCATATGTAATCCGAATTTTGTTGCCACATACGTCTCCTTGCGGTCCATCGATTTGGTCGGACAGTGGTCACTACTGCACTCTAGTTCGGATGCATGTCAACAAGGAAAAGAAAGTTCCTGCACTTGCGGCGTTGATCACAAAATTCGGTGCATGAGTTTAATGCATGATATCTATCATTCTTTCCGTTGCTTCCGCTGGAAGTTGAAGATTAAGATAAGATGAGCATTCTGGAGGCAAGGTTAAGAATAAGGTCAAATTCAAGATCTTCAGTCTTCACGTATCCTTCTTGGCGCGGTATTACCTCAAGCAAAACGCTGGTGTCACTGATGTGCAGCGCGCCTCTACAAAATAAATTGCCTGCAGAATGCCGGCCGGCACATCAACTCGGTTCTGTCGCTTACCACCACCATCTGCTCGTTCCTCTTTGTACGTGACTGCAACCGTATTCTTGGCGACGACTAAAGCAGATTCAGTCCAACCTTTCCCGGATACCCTCGCAAAATGCAACCCTTTCCAAACCGAATGGGACTTGGTCTGTCTCCCCCTCTGCCGTCGTTTGGCCAAGGACCCTCAATGTCTGCTCTCGCACAGCAGCAGGCCCAGCGAAATATGCACTTTGTCCCGCCTCAGGCCCAGAAGTTCACCACTCTCTTCATCGGCTCCATATCAGGTGGCATCCAAGATTCCTTTCTTAACCAGCTCCTCGATGTGTGTAACGTTCCGTACATTATACCGACTTTTTCTGACAAAATGTTGCATAGGCCTGCGGTCCAATAAAATCTTTCAAGCGATTGATTACACCGGCCAACAAGCCCCAAGGTTTGGCTTTGCGGAATTTGAGGAACCGGACGCTGCGTTGCGCGCCATAGAATTGTTGAATGGTGTCGAGCTTCCGGCATTGGAGGACGGATGTGCCAATAAAAAGCTACTGGTGCGTCTTATAATCCTTTTCGTCCCTAGTGCTCGCCCACGTCGACTCGCATCTAGGTCAAAGCAGACGAAAAGACCCGCGCATTCCTCGATGCATATCAATCACAGCGGATGTTGACAAACGTGCGTTCTATCCATTCTTCCTTCGCATTATATTTATGTTCCCGTAGCTCGACGAAGCAAAGCAAAAAGACTCCAAATCCAGAATCGCAGCTCTCGTCGACCAAATCAACAAAACCTCTGAAGACGCAGCCAACCAGGGCCTCATTGACCGCGAAAAATATGTTATTCCTCCTCATCTCCACGACCTGCAAGAAGCCGACCTCCCAGAGACGCAGCGCGGGCTTGTCATTTCCGAAATAGCGCAATTCCGTGAAAGGGCGGCCAAAAGGGAACGCGAAAAACTGCGAGAGGCCATGCCGCCGGTGACCCCCAGTGGACCAAAGATGCGTGAGTGGGGCAAGCCACAGCAACAACAGAGTCAGCCCTCTCCCCAGGCCTTTGGCAAAGGAGTACAAGGATATAGCAAACCTGTTGGCTTTGTCAAGGCGGGTGGTGGCGATACCGACAGGTCAACTCCCAGAAGAACGGACGAGGAAATGGAGCGCGAGCGGAAGGAGGCGCGGAAACGGGACGAAGAAGTGTCATTCAGAGACGTCCGTTTCATTGATCCTTTTCTTTCCATTTTCTGACATTTGTACAGCGGAACGACGTTATGAGCCTCGGGAACGATCTCGTATCAATGCTCTAGAACGAGCCATATATCGAGTGCAGGCCAATAAAGAAGCAGAGGAGCGCGACCGAATAGAGATGCGCGCCCGCCTCGACGTCTGGGATGACGATGAAAGTGACGAGGTTTTCTACGTCGACCGCGCCCGGTGGCGCCAGCTTCGCGCGCGTCGTCTGGAAGCTGAGGAAGCTGCAGACGCAAAGTCGCGGCGGTTCGAGGAGCAGGAAGCAGAGAATTTGCGCCGCGAGTCTGAAGACTTTTTGGCACGCAGATGGACGAGATGCAGGCTCTTGCGGAGGAGCAGCGCAAGGCGGCATGCTGCTTGATGACGGAGCACCGCTCAAACTGACGGTGACTATGGCGAAAGAGAAGGAGGAGATCAAGGAGAAGATGGAAAAGGCGACAGTGTTTGCGCAGGACGAGGAGGACGAGGATGCGGTCAAGAAACGCAAGGTACCGCTGGTGAAACTTGACTTCAGCGTGGCGGAGAGCGGGGAGCAGGCGCGCGAGGCTGGAAAAGATCCGGCAAAGTGTGCCGACGGACAAGGAGACGTTATTCAAGTCCAAGGTTCGGTGGGACGGGTTGTCGGATGTGATGATTGACAGGAAGTTGGAGCCGCTGGTGAAGCGATTGATGATCAAATACCTCGGTGAGATGGAAGAGGAAGATCTGATCATGTTTGTTTTGGAGCATCTCAAGGATCATAAAGGTCCGCAGAAGCTTGTCGAAGGGCTTGAACCGGTATGTGCGCTGTTTTTATTCAATCATCATACTGACTTCGAGTGCAGGTGCTCGAGGAGGAAGCCATTGAGCTTGTAGTGAGCGTGTGGCGGCAAGTCATTTTTGAGAGCATGGCGTATGGGGAAGGGCTGCATAGCGAGAAGGTGTTTGTCGATTCTGCGGTTTAGGTGCGTAGCCATCCGAGTATATTTGAGGAGTACAAGGTCTTGCTATCGCGCCGAGGCGAGGTCGAAGAGGGCGGACTAGGTGTGGTTATGTCGCCGTGAGTTTCATCATTTGAATGCTGTTAATAATGATTATTTCGTTTCTTTGCCTTGATGCTATCTCTTGTTTGATTGATGCGAGTTTGATCGATGCTTGGCTTTGGCTACGATGTCGTATGCTGAAGCAATGAAATCTACATTTACAACGGGCGCATTTGCCAACTCACTGTCATGTTGACGCGAGGTCTCGATTACAAGACAGAGAATGTGCTGCACATTGCGTTTGATGGGGCCGTAGAGACGTAGTATACGGTACAGATAAGAATTGCTTCATGGCAAGGCGACTGAAAAGCGACTCTCACCGTCACGCAGCCTACACGAACGACTCCGACTGGGAACGAAGCAACTCGCTCTCTTCAAGGGCAACACCCACACCCATAACCACGCAAGTGCATCGTCCCACCTCCTCAACCACTCTTGTCTCCTCCACCACCGGCGTATGGAGGATGCAGACCGAACACTGCAAAGTCAGGCACCACTAAACTCCCACGCTTCTCAACGTGTTCTTCAACCTCCTCTTTCGTCCCTTCATCATGTCTGGCGGTGACTTCCGTCCAGTACATTTCGAATCAACATGTACTATCCTCACATGCACGTCTGAGGAATTCCAAGACATGTACAATGATGCGAATCTTGACGACGACGTGTTGCTAAACATAATCCGGACGTACCACGATGAACTAGTCGCTGCCAATCTGGATAAACTGCTGCAAGGCATGCTTCTTCACGCCCGACTCGCGCCGGGCGGCGCTATGTGGCTGTTGCGCTGCATATTGCGCATCGCAAAGGCGCGGATGCCGTCGTTGGCGTGGCTCGGGCGTGGATGGATCATCTATTCCTCATGAGTCAGTTTTTTTACACTCTATGCCCAGTTTATAAGTAATGAATCCTGAGCAAGAAGGTTTTTTGTTATAGTGCTCTCCATCTCCCGAGCTTCCTACAAAGTTGAGACGCCCACCTTTGACGAGCGTGATAGTTCAGAGCTGAGAGCCACGGTCCGTATTCATATGACAGCAAACTGATTTCTTATGCATCATCCAGCTAGGTGTCCGTGAGGGCTACCGATGCGCCATCACGCGCTCTTTCGATAGACAGCGAGTTTTGGAGCTTATGGCGGAGGGTAGAGAGGATGAGATCCCTGAAGCACCGCAGAGTGTCATGGCTGCGGTGCACATCATGCCGTTGTTGCTCAACAGTTTCATAGATAGATCCACGACGGTATGTTGTTACCTAGTACAGTTTTTTTGCTTCCTCAGCTCAAGTCGGTTTTGTTTTCAACAGGAAAGAGCCCGCACATGGGACATGCTTCGCTCATGGACAGGTCTCGACATGACCGCGTCTGATATCCACACGCCCGCCAACACTATCCTGATGACGCTCGCCGAACACCTTGCATTCGCAAGGTTCCAGTTGTACTTTGACAAAGAAGCTGTAGGTGAAAACGTTCTTTGTTTTATCCCGAGCGCTCATCATAATATGTTATAGTTTCCCAATGAACCGAACAAATACAGAGTGCGGCCTATTATGCGTGGCTTGTATATGAGCTCTGGGAAAAGGGAAGCAGATGTGGAATTCAACACAATGTCCGAGGTGGACCCTCCGAATCCGGATTTCTTGAGGATACATGCCGCCTTTGCAAAGGTGCTGCATCTCAGCGGGGCCGCAGACCGGTTTGAGTGGGATGATGATGATGAACGAGAACTTGACCCCCACCGGACCTTTGATTTTGCTCAGGATCTTAGCCGTCGTCTAGTCATCTCTGCAATGTAGACGAGTTTCCCTTTTGCGATGAGTTGACATTGGAGTGGACAATACTAAAGGCATATGGATGTACTAGTAGGATAGGACATCAGAAGTAGCCTACCAAGTCCTTCCGTCGCAACTCAGAACTGCGGGGAGGGGGGTCCTAGATAACGCACATGATGATGCACGTCAATGAAGCTGTTGAGATGAAAGATTATAATAGCTCCTCAAGTTTCATGTTAAGAAGCGTCGGATATGGTGTAACGGCTAACATTAGCGCCTCTCATGAACCATCAGGTCGTTCATTCTCCGCGGCAGTGCGCGCTAGCTCGGGGTTCGATTCCCCGTATCCGAAATAAAGATTGTTTACTTTGATTTATGCCGGTACGTGTCTAAAGTGGCGCAGCCGTCAAGCGGGCAGTTTTTCGTCTATTTGAATTTTATACTGCTCAAGAGCTGTTGCCTCAGGCAACAGCTTTACCCTATCCTTTTACTACTTACACGGTCCGTCCTTAGCTATTCAGTTGGTGTAGGCGGAATCTAAGTAACATTGTAACAGTCTCAGGAATGGGACAAACAAGTCGTGCCAGCGACGCGTTGAGTGCAGCCCATGGGCGGAAGTCTGTTCATTGTTCCCAAAGAATGTACGTGTTGATGCAGTAGCAGCCATTACTTTCGACTATCATAAAGTCTGCCGAAGACAATTCGTCGTGGATTATCGCAAGCGGGGCGACGATATAATCCTATATTTGCCCACCTTTCATCGAAAACAAAACAGCTCCAATAGTCGTCCAACTCGCAGACTAAACACTCATTGCAGGAATTACAGTGCATAAAATATCGTG